GAAAACCCTATATTTTGGATTGTCAGGACCCGCATTTTGGACCATGGGATTGATGTTATGACTTTTGCCCAATTACATTGTATGCTTACCCTAGTGGGGTGATAAACTTAATGGATTAAGTCCTTAATGGGACAAGTAGGAACACTTAACCCTAATCGTCATTTTATGTGAAAACCCTAATTTTGTTTAGGCCTTGAGTTGGGCCTTTCTATTGGGTTTTGGTGATTGGGCTATTGATGGGCCATCCAAGATCAAGTTTATGGAATAGAATATTTGGATGGGCTTTAGGATAAGGCTCATAAGAAAGTATTGGGCCCAATTTGGAAAATTGGGCCATAGATGCGTCATACTGGGCCTTGATGATTATGAGATGTTGGACGATTGGAATGCCAAATATTTGGAATGGAATAAATGGTTGGGCCTTAAGGTAGGACCATGTAGAGGTTTGGGGCCAGTTTGGAAAATTGGGCCATATATTGGGCCTTGATTTATTATTTGGCTTTTGCGCCTCCAGAGTTTGAATTTGGGCCTTGATTTTGGTCCATGCTAGGCTATGGATAAAATAGACTCTTTACTTCAAGTAGGGAGTTATGGTTATGTATTGGAACCTAATTATTAATTGGGTGTTGTTTTGATATTGATAGTTTGGGGATTTGTTAGCCAATAGTCACATCTTTATCCGCAGGACTTCAATAGTGTGAGTTGAGTATCCTAATTGTTTATATGGGTTAAAGGTACCAATGTCGGCCCATTTGTTTGATGCATAGTAGGATGACCCGAGGGTTAGCCTAGGCATTATGTATGAAAGACCAAGACGCAGCTCCTAGCACACTCTATGGTATTATGTATGGTAGGAAGACCCGGGGGTTAGCCCTAGGCATTATGTATGAAAGACCAGGAGGTGTCTCATGGCACACTATATGCTAATTGGCTAAGTAGAGTAGTATGTATGCTAGTTGTATTTGAGATGCTTGCATGGAAAACCAGGAGGTGGCTCTTGGCACTTGTCTATGAGATCGAGGGGGTGGCCCCCAGCTTCGCAGGAAACACCACATGGTGGACCGTGGCATAATGGCAAGACTATGTTCGGTACATAGCATCTTTATTGATTATGATATATGTATGGCTCATGGTTATGTATGACAGTATGTGATTTATGTGCTTATATGCTAGAGAGTATCCGGTTGAAATAGATCGAAGGGATAGGCCAGCACTCAGATATGCTTGGCAGTATGTTGATATGTATGGTATGTTGTATTTGGGGAACTCACTAAGTTTCGTACTTACGGTTTTCAGTTTTAGTTTCAGGTACTTCTTTTGCAAAAGGAAAGAGCTGGCATGATCGCATCGCATCACACTATGTTTTCCGCCACATGAGATCTTTGGGATTATACTATGATATTGTTTCATTATGACATGTTTTGATTATCGACATACTGGTTTTGATATGGGATGACATTATAGATGCTTTTATACTATTGATTTTATAATAACTTAATTAAAAATGAAATTTTTGGTCTTCAATTTTGGGATGTTACATACTTTGTGTAACACTTGGTTTCGAATCATTTTATTATTCGGTGACATGGCCCGATTATTGGTTATCATAAGGCTTAGGTCCCTAGGAAAGAAGAAAATTGTCGTTTTTTTGAATGTGGGTGTTATAGAATAAGTAATCCGAGTGTTCGTTTGTGTTTCGGAGCCAAAGGGTATAATCGTAATTTGTCAGCTCAGTCCCTTATGAATTCAGGTTTATGTTTGAGAGCTTTTAAGGTGAAGTTAAGTGTATAGAAGTCTAGAGCTTCTCGTCACCTTTCTACAGATATAAAGTTCGTCGGAAACGAACTCAGAACGAGGGAGTTATGGTCAAATGAAGTTTAAAGGTTTTAGAGGTTTAATGAGTATGTTGGGAGTACTTGTTGTGTACGCGGGGCGTAATGGGTAAGTTAATCGCGGGTTCTCCTTGAACCTAATTTTTTATTGCTTGAAGCTGGAGAAAAGCAGTTTATGGGCCCCGAGATAGTCCATCAGACTGCTGAAAAGTTTACAATGATTAGAGCAAGAATGTTAGCAGCTCAAGATCGCCAAAAGAGTTATGTTGACGAGAAGCGATGACTGATGACATTCAAAGTTGGAGATTCGGTATTTATCAAAGTCACACCATGGAAGGGACTTATATGATTTGGAAAGGAAGGAACGTTAAGTCCAATGTTTATTGGACCATTCAAGGTTCTTCAGAGGATTGGGAACCAAGCTTTCAAGGTGGAGATCTAGAAGAACTAGATGGTATCCATAATACTTTCCATGTGTGTTATTTGAGGAAGTTTGTGGGAGAAGTTCCCGATATAATTCCACTTTAGGAGTTAAGGATGGATGAGAATAAGAGGTTAATCGAAGAGCCCAATGCAATTGTTGACCATAACACAAAGAAGTTGCGATGCAAGATGGTCGACTTGGTGTTTGTGCAATGGAAACATACGAATGGGCCAAACCTCACCTAGGAAACAGAGAGTGACATGATGAGTCGTTATCCACATCTGTTTTCCGATGCATGATTCCAGGACGGAATCATCCTAAGGAGGAGAAAATTGTAATGCTCGTGTTTCTAGGCTAAGCATTATTATACCGATGTAATAGTTATGGTCAACAATTGTAACCTATTTTGAAGTAATAAAGAGGAATTATTTGAGTATTAGGTGATTTATGTGATTTTATGTACATTATACTTATTTATAACGACGTAATAATAATAATATAATAATAAGCATCAAAAACAAAATAATAAATAGACCCAACATCTATGAATCAAGTTGAAGTAGTCGTAACAAGGATTTCGGGGATATAAAGAACGTCGAAATCCGAGTAATAACGAAGAAGTTATGACCTATCGAAGTTTTACGGCTAACCCGATACTACACCGCGTAACGTAAAAAGTGAATTTTTGATAAATTACTTTTTAGCCTTAGAAATCTAAACGAAAGTAGTAGTATATGTTAAACCGATAGCGTGCATAAAAGAACATCCAAATCTGACTTCGTATGAGAAAAGTTATGATTTTTCTAAGATTTGGCATAGTAGTGCACAACCTGAAATTTAAATTTTAGATCGATCTATTTTTAGCCGATACGACCTAAATGAGAATTGAAGATCTCATTAATAGGAGCTCAACAATAAAAAGACAGTCGAAAACGGAGTCCGTATGTAAAAGTTATGAGTTTTACACGGTCGTTAGACGGTATAATCTTTTCAGAATGTTAAATTTAAAATTGGTCGAGAATTAGCCGACAGAGTCAAAAGGAAAGTTGTAGATCCCGTCAATACCTACGCGTGGATATAAATAACGTCAAAAACGAAGCTTGTATGTGAAAGTTACGGATTTTACAAGATAGCTAGTTTTTGGAGTAATCTGCGAGTGACACATGGTGCGATCTGAGCCACTGCTTCTTCACCATGGCTTGCCACCAGATGGTGACACGTGGCATGGGAATGCCCAGCATTCAGCCAGGGAACTCCCTACATTCGACCTTCAAACAACCTATAAATAGAAGGCGCAAATCACTCCATTCTTCACACTTTTCTCACTCATTATCTCCCAAACACCCCCAAACCCTCTAGGGTTTTTCCTAGCACCTCCAAGGTGTTTGAAGCGAGTCCCGAAGTGTCATAAAGCCCCAAGAAGAAGAGATTTCGGCTCAGAAGTTCTACCCGCGTAGAGCCTGGTTCCTCGCTAATCCCCCTTGTAAGTAAGTCATACTTACCCTACTTTAAATATAGCTTATGTTTAAGTTCAATATTGTTATTATGAACGTATAAACTATATATATATATATATATATATATATATATATATATATATATATATATATACATACATACATACATATATATACATATATAATATACAAAGTGTTATTATAATATCTTTTAGCTACTCGCGGTACGGGGAAGCTGGTTTGATGGGCCGTATAGGGTTGTTGGATTTTAGAAATGCTATAATGCCAAAATGGTCATGCCCTCTAGTGTTTCATATCTGGCCCCTGTCTATACATAGTGGTTGAAAAGTATCTTTTAACACTTATAAAACAATATCGCTCGTAAATAGGTGCAATAAAAATTAGACTAAAGTCTAGTGGTAATAATATTAGGTTTCGTCGAAGGAACTTATATTTTTAAGAAGCAAATCACTGTCCAAGTTGGAATCACCACTT